GATAGTTGCAATAGTAGTTTTTATTTAAAAACCAGATATAACAAAACCAACATTAATAAAACATGTGATTGAAATTTCTTCCATTTGTTTTGATTTTCTGATTATAAACTGGTTGATTTTTTGTCACCAGCCTAGCAGCCTATAAGACCCAAGTTATTTTTTTTTATTTCAAATTAATTTTTCGTGGTATTTTTGAGCTTATTTTAATGTAGGCCTATAAATGGATTCTGTTTTAAAGTGTTTGAATTTAAATTGCTAAAGTGTTTTTTTTTATGTTAGGTAATAGTTTAGTATGAAATAAAAGAATCTTCCAAATTTAATCAAAATATATTCATAAACAAGCACACTGAAACAGCTATTCTCCATTAGCATTTATCATATTCATTATAGTACAAAATTCATTATATAGGAATTTTATATTTACATTTTTTTGTAATTTTCTCCGCAACCATTAGATGCATTACGGCGCTTCATACTAAACTATTTGTTTTTTTGAGCTCTAGATTACCCCATTTAAAAAAATCAAATTATGACCTTATGAAAATAGACCTCTGTTTTGCAGAAATTTTATTTTGTTAGTCATTGACATTGCAGCATTTGGAAATACTGTACCTCGTATGCATGGCTATGCATTACAGTTTTACAAATACATATGTGTGGACCTATTTGTTGAACACTTTGTCTTCTTCCAACTTATTTCGAACAGGACGTGTAATTTAGTTTTAGAATTTAGTATCCGCCGCGTCCGCTTGCTTAGCGATTTTTTAGAATATCGCGGCGGGAGTTTTGTCTATCTCGAATGGCCTATTAAAAGTAATTTAAAAGTAAAAAAAAAAAAACTCTTGGTCCTATTATTCTAAAACGTTTTTATTAGCTCGCTTCCTCGTCTGTTCGGTACAAATTTTGCAATCGATTTCAAGCAACCTCTCGATGAGCTAGATACTTGAGACTTGAATCATAGCTCACAAATCTATAACAATGCAATAATTCAATCATTTTATTTTCATATTTCCCTTGGGCTACTCCCCATTGGCTTCCAAATGGTTAATGTTTACATTTTGAAAAATGTAAATATATCAATTGAATTCAGTTAGTTCAAAGAGCAGAGGTTAAGAGGTACAGGTTCTGATCTCGAGAGATTCTAGTTTTATGATTATTAGAATAGTAGCATAGACAGTAGCAACAACATCTGTTTACAATTAATTAAACATACCTACACATTGAAGACTAAAAAGTATATCGTATTTTTTTATAAACAAAAAAGCGTTTTAAAATTCCACGTTTTTAAACACACTAAGAATGTATTAAATAAATAAATCTATACTAATATATAAAAATGAGATGGTGTGTGTTTGTGTATGTGTCTGTCTGTTACTTAATAACGTAAGAATCACTGAACCGATTGCAATAAAATTTTGTATGAAGGTAGCGTATAACTAGTTAACGTATAGGCCAATTCCTGTTATTATATTTCCTTTGGGCTACGCCCCATGGGCTTCCAAAGTTTCAATGTTTACATTCTGGAAGAATGTAAATAGTAAAAAATATTAATTGAAGTCAGCTGTAAATACTATAATTTGACATTAATCAGGGCATAAATTTCATTAATTTAAATATAAGTCAACAACATAATACATAACAGTTATTATTTTTAATCGTTCCATAGTTCAAAACGTGTATGTATTTGCATTAATTTACATAGCTTTTAAAACATTGAGTAAATAAACATAGTTACGTGGAGTGAATAAATACTTGTAGGATTTAAAACGAAACATTGGGCGCATGCAATAGATAACTAGTGTACATGTTGCTCGAGATCGAGCAATTGCAAAGAAGTATAGGATTTATTTATAAACAAATAACTTGTTTAGAAACTAATAACAGTCATAATTTCCGATGATTTTAAAAGAGTGAACTAAATAGGTAGTTTTTAGTAGTCAACTAATGGAAATACTCACAATTTACATAACAATCCTATTCCAGTTTAAAGAGTTAATTTATAACAATCAACCTGCCCATGGACGGGAAAAGGTAAGCTTACAATTTAAGTTTACGTAAAAAGGCTGTCAAATTTTATAAAGTACCGCACCTAAGCTATTTAGCCAATTTGTAGACAATAAGGTGTATGCTACTTTAAACTCTACTAAAAAACTGGCAGAACTCTGAAATGATGTTATTTATCACATGCTTACTCATATGCCAAATCCTTAAAATAAAAATTTTATAATTTATATCATTAAACACAAACCAACATCAAAAACTATACACATCTTTAATACAACATAGATAATTTACACATTGACTGTTTACAATTAACATGTGTTCTTCCTCTCACTTTTAATTTTGCTTCGCAACAGGAAAAATCTGTTTCATAATCATTGAAAACAGATTCATAATAAATAATCTATCATAAAGTCTAAGATTAAATAAACCTATCACATAGTGGTTTTATTTTTCTGGATCAGCTGTCTGAAATTATAAAATAGGCATTTTTGACAGTTCTGGTTATTCACATTTAAATGTCAAAGCAAATGTAAACATGGTGAATTTTCTCATGCTTCCATGGAGACTCAATAGACTCAATAAGACTCAATAAGAATTTATTAATGCCATTAAACTTAGACCATTTATTAATATTTAATTTCTGACAACAGCTGGAGTTTCAAAACAATGTTTGTTTCCCATGTTAATCTTATGGAGAAATACGAAACTTTGAAAGGCCCCAGGGCCTCACTCTCTAATTATTTACCTAAAAAGAAAGTTTCCTGCACAACTTCACGTTACGCTCTTTCCAATGACACCAAATACATGTCAATCGGTTCAGTAGTTTCGGAGGAGTAATTGTCACAAAAATCCTGCTTGCGTATTAAATAAGTATATATATATATATATAGATATATAGATATAGATACAATATGTTAAGATAGTAATTTCAATTGCTTGAGGATATATACTATAGTTATCGAGTTGCGACTCCTAAGACTACTTCTTATGTTAGCATTTATTTAAAAATCGTTTTAAATAAATGCTAACATAAGACATTGTTACATAATTGTATTTTACAAGTTATATTTTTTTAGAAGACAATGTTTACATAGACGCAGATGCGTCATGGCGACATGGATAATTCTACAAGTTTAAGTGTACACTTGATTTATCCGGTTCGGTAACGAGCTGTCAAAACTATCAAAACATAGTCAGGTAGTCCACGCGGCGCTCGGGCCACCCGGCGCTCGCGCCACTCGGCGCTCGCGCCACGTAACCTTCTAAGCGGCTGACCTATATTGCCATATTCTGTTGAAGTAAAAACTATTTTTTCTGAATTCGTGGTTGAAGCTTTATTTTTGTTTTTATGTTTATGTATTAGTTTATCGACCATATGACTTATATTGCCGTTAGAGACGGCGATGAACTCGATGGTATTTATTTCTTCATTGTAGTCGTTACCGTTCATAGGAATAGATAGCAATCGGCTTACGAAACTGTGGTATGCTGCTATGTTATGACTTTGAGGATGATGTGAGTCCAGAGTTGATGTGAATTTTCTGGGATGATGTGGTCGGGTTTCTGTATATTTTAAATTGTAATTTATCCGCTGATCTATAAATTGTGACGTCCAAAAAAGTGAATGACTTGTTGTTATCTTCAACAACTAGTTTAGACTCTAAGGTCATAATCATGTTGTTATATTGAACAAATACAATAACAGATAAAGAAAACAAATAAAATATAACTATATGTTGATTTAACTTAATTAATTTAATTTAACTTAATTTAGAGAACCTTGATTTCTTCTTTGTTAAAATTGTGTATTATATAATGGCATATTTCTATTTTAGTGTAATTGAAGGATTTTTACGAGTTTTTAGCGAATTTCCCATATAGGGAATAAGCTATTACCGTAGTACTCATGGTAAGACCTAGACCCGGGACCGATTTAATTTTTCATTTTGAGGTCCCTAGAGGCCAAAAACACCATCCGTTCAAATTCACACACACACATATATATATACACACATATATATATATACATATATATATTTACATATATATATGTACATATATATATATGTGTGTGTGTGTGTGTGTGTCCGTTAGCGCGATAACTCGAGCAAAATGATCCGATTTTGATGAAATTTGGTACAAAAGTGTATACCTACGTTTATTCGAACGAGTTCGTGATCCAGCATTATCGGACCATGGGAAGGGGGATTAATGGGGGGGGGGGGTTTATGGGGTAAAATTCGGGTTTTACCACTTTTAGCTCTAAAAACAAAAGAAAATAGCAATTTCTTTTTAAACCGTTTTGAAGAGCTTAAAAAAAGAAATTATTTAGTACATAGAAGCGCTGTTGTATGCCTAATGGTCACGGAGAAAATTAAAAAATAGTGTAATTTAAAATTCCCATGTTATTATGGAGAAAATACAAATTGTTGTAGCTTACTTGTTTATGGGTATATATTGATAAAATTTAGCAAATTTATTTAATTCATCCTATACTATTGACGTATGGTCAAAAAACACTTTTTACCTTCCCCGTAGTATCAAACCTAAGCACTCGTTAAAGCTAATGTTATTTAAATAGGGAATAAATATGTCTTATTTTTGGAAAGTTCAAATTTGCTTAGTCTGCAGGCTTGCTGCGGTGGGGGTATTAATGCTTAAAATGAATTTAAAAGGGTACTAGAGTTTATAAGGTATTCACCTATATATAATATACTATATGTTGTATGGTAACTATAATGTGTATGTGTCATACACAAACTGATACAGATATACTTACTTATACTCATGAACACAAACTCACAGACGTAAAGAAACATATAAATATTTCAACCAAGTATAAATAAGGTATGTTATCAACTTTATTTTTCCGGAAATTGATAGCCTTCAAATAAACATGAACAAGTACCGAAAACCTTTAGAAAAAAGCTTAAGTTAGTTGACAAACGTACATCCAGAACATACATTTATTAAAGTAAGTTGCAAACATAACTTACGTATCATTTCAGATTGGTGAAGACTCGGTCTGATCTGCACCTGTAACAAGCAAATCATAAAACTCCAGCCAACAAACAAGGGCTATTAAATTGCATTTGAATAAATATTATTCATTGAAAATAACACAAAATTGACCATATAACCAGGACAGAATGAAATATGTTTTTATAATACATGAAAATCAAACCACACTTTTTTGGTTAGTCGGACTTAATCAATTGATTGGATTAAGTCTGATGACAAGGGGAGAAGCGCCATTACGAGCCTTGGTGCTTAACAATTGAGTTATGCAAGTATCTGGTCTAATGGCTGCTGTTACTCTCTCTGCCTACCCACTAGACTTACTTCGTGATCCACTATCACAAAAACCTTTGATAAAACGTTATATCACATTTTAGTAAACATTAAATCTATCTATCTATCTATCCATCTATCTTCTATCTATATATTAATTACGTGAGCCGATTCTTTGCGTCAAAATTGTGGGCAATTGGGAAGTCGTAGAATGATGGGAGAGGGCTCAAATTAAAGGTCTCGATCCCGTGACGGCGGGAAAAATAGTGACATCTCCATAATTTTATCACAAAATGAGATATAACGTAAAATGTTCTCCATAAGAATAGCATTAGAAGCCATTTACTGCAGATTTTTGTTTACTTCAATACAGCTGATCTTGATTTATCATTAGGCCAGTAAGCAATATTACATTTGGATTACTCATTTGCCAGTCAATTCTGCACTGTATGCACTGTATACTATATAAAACCAGTGATAACGTTACCCATAATAATTAAGACGTTTTAGTTACGTCAAAAATAAAATCAATTGTTTTCAAGATTAAAGAAACGATCCCAGATTAAAAAAAGAACGTTTGCTTTTTTTATTTCAAAACATCTGCTTTAATATGTTAAAGATAGAACAAACTTTTTTACAACTTTTTTGTAAATTTAACAACCTTTATATTTGCGATTTATTGTAGTGCTTAATCAATATTTTGTATGAAGTTGAATAACCTCAAAGACCCCTAGAAAATCAATTTGGGAATAAAGATGAAATAGGTGTTCGAACAGGTATTCGTTCATTAAGTAAGTTTTATGACGAGTTCCAATGGGCGGAAAAAAACAATATTGTTTAGAGGATATTTTAACCAGGTACTGCCTGTTGCTCCAAGAAAAAAAGGTTAAAATAATATAGCCTAGCATGCACGGTAGTATAGGGAGCACCTATATATAACAGTAAAATATATTGGTAATTTCCGTTTCTTAAAACTAACCAAAAATATGCATGTCATGATTGGTTCCGATAACTGGGTAATGGAACCTTAAACAGTCGCGAAATACTGTAGTTAGTGGCCAGACGTTGATTAGGCCCTTTTTTTGATAGGATATGTTAAGTTAAACACACCTTTAGGAGGATTACCACCACATTACTTACACCAAGCTAATACGGTAGTAGTTTTCAATGTTGATCAGAAACAAATTTAGGGTTAAGTTCTGTCAATTGGATGCCTTTACTTTTCACTAATTTTGTTAAACCTTTACCAAATGAGCATAAACATATAAATAATAACTGGGTCGGGGTGCTAATTTAGTGGTATTGGCCAAGAACTAATCTTATCTCAACACACCTTTTTTTGCCTTTTCATATTTGACTAAGACAATTTTCAATATTTCAATCAGGGAAGTCTTTTTTCATCATCATCCAAAAGAACAAAAAGTTACCTTAGTGAACCAATATTTATTCACAAACATGTTTGCTGCATTAAGCAGAGTTAAACCTCAGGAGTCATTCAAATTATTTATTGAAAATAACATAAACATATAAAACAAGATAAACAACAAACTGTTTTTAACACAAAAGATATGTTTTACTGGGATATCCATCCTGACACATAGATAATTTGATTCTGAGTTTGTTTAAAGATTACAATAATTTGTTTGACATTAATTTGAGCTTTTTAGGGACTTATGTCCCTACAAGCCACTAGTCAATCTATATATTAATTACGTAAGCCGATTCTTTGCGTCAAAATTGTGGGCGACTGGGAAGTCGTAGAACGACGGGAGAGGGCTCAAATTAAAGGTCTCAACCCCTTGACGGCGGGAAAAATAATGAATCTGCCAAAATGTTTACACAAAATTAGATATAACGTAAAATGTTCTTCATAAGAATAGCATTATAAGGCATTTACTGCTGATTTTTGCTTACTTCAATACAGCTGATCGTGATTTATCATTAAGCAAGTAAGCAATATTACATTTGGATTACTCATTTGCCAGTCAAAGTCAAAGTCAAATCGTTTATTTCCAAAAGTTAAACAATACAATAAACAGATACAAATTATAAATAAATATATTTTTCCTACAGTCACCCGACAAAGTTGGCTTCCCTGTACTGTTTATAGTACAGAAAGCTGCTAATTGCTGCATATTTATACTTTGCCGTACGGTTTATACTTTTCCGTACGGTTTATACTTTGCCGTACGGTTTATACTTTGCCGCACATCAGGATTCTAACCAAACAACACAAAACAGCGTGGTTTTATTATGCACGTAATCCGTGTACGCTTGGAAATAGGTTGGCAACACTTAAAGATAATAATTCTATGAGCAGCTGATTGACTATTATAACTACGATTTAACCTGTCATTTCGTGTTTATAGTTTCGGTATTTCTGAACTTTCTGGACTTTTCTTTTAAACGTTTTTAAAACATTCCTACGATCTTAATAAACAAGAAAATACCTTTAAAGCATTTTTTTAGGCGCGGAAACCACTTCAAATTACTAAAACATTCGGAACTATATTCTCAAAACGCGGAGCACATTTCTTGCCGAGGAAAAATAGCGGAGTGATACGGACTGCGGGTACTACGTTCTCTAGGGCACCATTTGTGTTGCCAGCTGAACCTAAAAAAGTGTTGTATGGTGTTTGAAAGATTAATTATTTATATGCTTTATAGTGACTGTAGGAAAAATATAATGTGTAACACGAGTGAAAAAGGCCTTTGCTGCACTCGAGATCATAAACATTGTAAACATTGCTCTCGTGTACAATTATATGGGGATTTTATCAGCGCTTCCGTAGCCGTCCGGCCAATGCTGGCAAGCCACGTACTCACCTTTCTTTTGTACACCGGGACACTGCTCTCCTCATACTGCAGGATTTGTGGCGGAAGATTGCGATATAAGATATGGGCGATAAAATATGGGTTACTTTTTAGGGAGGTTATATTTAATCTAGGAAATTGGTAACCAAAGTTGATTCTATGTCTTGTGGGATAGTTATGCTGCAAATTGGTAAAAATGTTGTTTTTTTTACCTAAGAAAGACTAAAAGAGTTTTAACAAATAACTGTCGTATATCATGAACAGAAAAATCTGAGTACAGATCCACTGTTGGATATCTCGATGGTTTGCTTAGGACTGTTTTGATTAATGACCTCTGCGCAACAGCCAGAGGCTCAAGCATAGAGGCCGAGACACCGCCCCACGCCAATATACCATATTGAAGCAAAGACTGCACGTAAGCATAATAAACTGTCCTACAGTAATCCGTGGTCAGAACACCAGCAAGTTGAGAAAATGCATATATGAGCTTTCTAAGTCGTTGTTTGAGATAATGAATGTGGTGAGTCCAACTGAATTTTTGATCAATTATAATTCCTAGATAAGCGTACTTCTCTACCCGCTCTATGACGTCACAAGTACAAGCCGCAGACCGAAAGTCGCCGCAGGTATGAAGAAATAGTTGCCTAGGGCTAGGGTCACTTTCACTCTTAAAAAATATTGGTAAACTTTTTGTTTTATTTATGTTAAGGGTTAACGTGTTTTGGTCTAACCAGCGTTTAATTTTATAAATGTCTGTAGATGCGTGTTCATATGCCTCATCCCACGTGCGGACCCTCCAGGTTCCCCACGTGGTTCACTAAAGAGCTTAAGCTCTTAACTATTGAAAAAAACGTCTTCATAAGATCTACAAGTTGAACCTGGACGAAGCTTCCTACTGTCGTTTTTTCTGCCACCAGAGCTCAATGCAAGGCCTTGTCCACAGCCTGTTTTACAAATTACATTAACCACGTGGAAGATGTCCTCCCACAAAACCCCAAGATTTTTTGGTCCTATGTAAAAAGCCTCAATAGCTCAACCTCATTCCCCACCTCAATGTCTCTAAATGGAACTACCTCCGATAGTGACCAGTCAGCTGCCGAGTAATAGCTCGGGGAACCAGGAGAAGTATGTAGCAAATATGCTACATATTTCTCCTCAGTGTTTGGCCAGGATGACGTACCACCTGACTGCTTCACCCCTGTGTCCCAATTAATGGGGTCCCACTCGTTCTACCCTATCCAAGTGCATGAAGTCCGCCAAGCAATTTTAAACATTGATGCAAACAAAGGTTGCGGTCCCGATTCCATCCCGCCGGCTGTTGCAAAGCACTGCCGCCGCCTACTGGAACACCCACTTACCAATCTCTTCAATCTGTCTCTGTCAAATGGTATTTTTCCCGACATCCTTAAACCAAGTCATATAATTCCAGTTCATAAAAAAGGACCTATAAATGACGTCAAGAACTATCGTCCAATAGCGATTCTCTCAGTCATCTCAAAGATCTTCGAGAAAGTCGTTCTGCCTAGATTCAAGTCCATCATCTTGCCATTCGTCTCCCCCAATCAACACGGCTTCTTGACTGGCCGCTCCTCTTCCACAAACCTGATGATCTTTGCAACAGATATCTTTGATGCGTTTGCCAATCTTCACCAAGTCGATGCAATCCAACTCCATTTTGCGAAGGCTTTCGACTGTGTCAGTCATAGGCTCCTAGTGGAAAAGTTAAGGACCTTCAGCTTTGACGGCTGTTTGATTCGATGGATTCGCAAGACAGAGTCCTACAAGTCAGGTACGACGGTTCACTTTCTCATCACTTTTATGCCACCTCGGGAGTTCCAGGTTCCTTGCTTGGTCCCATACTATTTATCTCGTTTATAAATGATATCACTACAGACCTTCAATGCAGCTTCCAACTATTCGCTGATGATCTT